GGTGCGGGGCTAAGCAATTCAGTGAGACCCTGTCTCTAAATAAAATAGGGCTGGGATATGGCTCAGTTGTCGAGAGCCCCTGAGTTCAGTCCTGGGTACTCCCCCCCAAAAAAAGACCTTCTGGAGTCCAGTGCTTCTACTATACCATCAGGTTACTTTGGGGTTTTTGGTATTTTATAAACATAAACTTATATACCTCTGAACACACCAACAAATCATTTTTACATAAACTGAGTTCCTATGATAAACAAACACTGAAGAGTCACACCAACAATAAAAATTCATATTCTATATAAAAGTTGTATAAACATAAGTGTAATTTGGGGTGCTGTCCTGAAACCAGCGGAAAATGGAAGGAAGGCAGGCGGTGGGAGTAAGACGAAGGGCTTGTGCCTTTTGCAATCAGCTTAGTTTTGGCTGTACCAAGAGATGGTATCTTGAATTCAATCAAATCAGCATCTCCTGTGGCCCACTAGAAACCTTCCAGTTACAGAGGTGGGAAGAAGCCTCAAATTCCCACAGTCGCCAGTTCACCTGCAAGAGTTTAAGGACGTGGATAATTTCCCTGTGAACTTTCTATTGAATTCCTCACTAGTAGCACATGCTGAACGCACCGGTTTCTTGGCCACCTGTTCCTCTAGACTTCTCTTCCTTTCTACTTTAACTGGAAAATTTCTCCCCTAAACTATTTTCAGAGCAAAAAGAGATTCTTAAAAGCAGGGTGTGAGGGGGTGTTAAATGACTCCAGGGGGAAGATATCTCCTACCCCCACCTAACCTCCTCTCCCCATATAGATGCTGACCAAACAGAAAGAAAAGCAACTGTGAGAAATATCAAATCAGAATCAAGCTGTGACCAACTGAGACCATCTCAGGAGTGCTTTACCAGGTGATTCTGGATGGCACATACAAAGTGGCCGCATGCCACCACCACCCCCACGTCTCCAGCATGAGATGTTTCCAACAACTAGAGGTGGCAACAAGATGATTACTTATTATCATTTTTACACCAGTTACCTGGAGGGTCCTGAGGCCGCACCTCTCTTGTACCCCAAGTCATCCCTGCATTGCCATTTATGGAAAATCTTCACCAGGTGGTTCTCTGAAGCAATGACTGAGCAGGTGGCTGTTCTGACTAACATGCAACTCTGATGGTATTAAACCAGAAAATCAACGTCATCCTAAGACAGAGAGTGCTCCCAAGAGGAAAAACATATCTCTTCATCAGGCCAGGAGTTGGAAGGTTCCAACATAACTTTTAACTTGGACTCATTCTGACAAGCACTTTAAGGTGCATTAAATGTCTTCATTGTAACTTTATGTAAATTGGTTATGCAAATTCTGCGTTCTAGCAAAACATCTCCTTTTCCTAAATCTTACGATTCCCAAATTTAAGCCCTCTTCACAGTAGGAAATTTTTTTGTTTTGGTTTGCTTTTTGTTTTTTCCAAGATTATGTATTCTTTGGGATACCAAAATCCCTGAGCCTGGATCCAGATCCAGTTTTAAGGAAATCTCTCTCCCACACCAGCACCCTGTACTCACTTCCTTAGCCTTTCCTAAAAAAAAAACAGGGAGAGGACTTGAGATGTGCAAGTGGAAACACACAAAAGTATTTCCATAGCAGTCAAAGCTCAAACATTTGGGCCTAGGGTGGGCACACCTGTAATCCCAGCTACACAAGAGGTTGTAGCAGGCCGATGTCAAATTCAAGGCCAATCTGGTCAAAGACCCTGTCTCAAAGTAAGAAATTTTATAAAAAGCTGGGGGTATAGCTCAGTGGTAATGTGCTTGCCTAGCATGTGCAGGCCCTAGGTTCAATCTTCAGAAGGACAGAGGGGGCTCAATTATTTGGGATATGATTTACTTATTTTTTCCCCTCCAACTAAATCCTTTTAGCTTTCCTTGAAGAAATGACTGGAAAAAACACCATTCTGGAAAATCAAGGCTGAAAACAGCATTCTGTGTGTTGCATAACAAAACAGACCCTTTACAGAGGTGTGAAGTCCCATGCATACAGGTTCCATAACTGCAAAATGGGATAGGACTTATTTTAGTTTGGGGCTCAGGAATAGAATTTGAGAACTGAGGGTGTGGCTCAAGGATAGAACCCTTATCTAACATGCATAAGGTCCCGAGTTCCATCCCCAGCACTATAAAAAAGAAAAAACAAAAAGTAGAATTTATAAAGCATATTCAATCGTCTTGTAAGAAAACTATTTCATCTACATTAATCTTTTTTTAATATTTTAAATTATTTTTTAATTGTAGATGGACACAATACCTTTATTTTATTTATTTTTATGTGATGCTGAGAATCGAACCCAGTGCCTCACAGGTGCTAGGCAAGCACTCTACCACTGAGCCAAAACCCCATTTTTTAATCATTGATTACTAGTAACCCAAAGATTATAGTTTAATATGAATGTTCTTATCATGTGAGGGAAAACACTGAATGTCTTAAACACTAGGTGCTCAGAACATGTGTTCAGAAACATGCAGCTTCCTTGTTTTCCACCTTATTTCATCTTCAGGATCACTAACTGTTTTAGGTGTAATCCCTTCAAAATTTAATCTAGAGCATTTCAGTGAGGAATCAAAAATAAATATATTCAGAAGGCAAGAGAATTAATAAGCCATCATCAATTTGAGGCCAGCCTGGACAACATAGTGAGACTCACCACTCAAAAATCAGTAAATAGATAGATAAGTAAATAATGCAATATTAAGAAGTAAATATTTTAACTACTGAAACTATAGACACTGCTTAAAATGTTGATATTGAATTCTCAATCCTATAAACTTCTGAAAAGGCAACAATCAAGAAGATAATAAAACATCAGATTTTGATTCATATTCAAAATATGTTCAAAAATACTCTTGATCTGATTCATTTAAGTGGGGGGAGGGGTGTGGCTCAGTGACCCAGCAAGTGCCAGGCACCCATAAGACCTTGGGTTCCATTCCCCAGCAACCCTCCAGCACCACCTGGGATGGGCCTGGGAGGTAGAATTTGGAAAACAAAAACAATTATTTTGTAAGAAAAGTGAAGGACTGCAGAGTTAAGCTAGAGACTTTGTTACTGTCACTTAACTTCTTCATTCCATAAATACTGACTGTCAGTCATGCAGCTAGAAACTTGTGAAGTTTCCGATTCCCTGTTCTCCCCAGGTATGGCCTCAAATGAAGTCAAAGAGGCCTATGGCTTGTATATAATTAGAACAAGGTGAAGGGTTAGATGGACACAAAAATACACAAAAACTCAAATTACCTTCTCCTTTCCCTTCCTCCTCCCACTTTCTTTTCCCATTGAGTTGGTTTTCTTCCCTCTGATTATCAACTTAACATTATTCTTTAAATTGAGAGCAGCACAAACTTCCACAAAGTGCTCAGTCCCTTGGTTGGGTACTTTGGTTTGTCTAGTGATTGTTCACCACACCACTGACAACCTTTCACCTTTTAGAATCAGCACCTGCAGTTCTTGTTCTAATCGCCAACCTTTTGTGCTCAAAACTGCGACAACCCCTTCTGTTGTATTGCCAACGCTCTGCTTTCCCTCCCCTTAAAAATCTGTGTGACTTCACCTTAAAGCTTAAATAAAATCTTCAACTGTATTCCTGCTGAAGAAAATGGAAGACACTACCAGGGAGGGAAAAATTACTTTTAGTGCAAATCAGGAATGGCCTGACTGGGTACCTTGAGAGGATGGTTATTTTTCTATGACTTTGATAAGCCTCAAAATAGAAGCCACGTCCCTAAAGGCCTTGGGACAGTACCTCCAGAAACTTTTATCTAATTTTAAAATGAGTCATTTATTTGGAAAATTCCACTTCCACTTATTTTAACTGATTTCTTAATTATCCGGTGACTGTTAGCTGTCACCATCCGCAGGCCCTACCCGTTTCTACAGATTGAATTTTTAACTTTGAAAAAACAACCCAGCCTCCCCTGTGGGTTCCCAGCAGAGGCGAAGGAATCCAGGAAGACCCCCTTCCGCCTTGGTTAACACCTAAATGGGATGCCTCAAGTCATGAATGCTTCTGCAATCTCACTGTAACAATCGGACTCTCAAGTCACCTGTGCCTCTGGGCAGCCCAATCATGTGTTTTCAAGGGTGGAAAAAAAAAATCTGTTTCTTTTATGGAAAAAGACTCTTTGCTACAGGAAACGTGAAGGGGCTGTCGGTTCGATGATCTGCTTTTCCAAAAGCTGACGCTTTACAAATCTTTTTATAAACCCTTTACTTCCCACTAAACATACCAGAACCAGAAGGAAGACGGTGGAAGGAGCGAGATAAGGCAAAACGAGCGAAGAAAAAGGGGGGGAAGTTACTACTTCAAAACTGGGATCCAGATGAAAGATTCAGGGACAGTAGTGACAAGGATCACCAAAAGCCACCTTACCTTTGGTAAGCATCTGGAGTCGCCCACTTCAGAAATTACCACCAGTCCCCGCTCAGTAGCAATTGACACAGCTAGGAAGTAACCTACAACATCTTCGCCGCCGCCCTCTTTTTAATGTAAAACCAAAATAAGGAGTGTCCAGCTACTCCCACCTCGCCGCTTAAAGCCACAGATCGTTTTAGGCTTAACTCCGGGGCTCTGGGAATTGCAGTGGGTCAGAATCTCTCAACTTTGGAGACGGGCGCAGAGAAGGAACTCCTCACCAGGACAACTCCCCCAAAACCCGGCTTCCCACTGTCCCGGGCTGCGCATTCCAATAACCCCAAGGCAGCTGTGGGGTTCAATTCCCCGCGGCAGCGACACCGGCAGAGCGCGGCGATGGCCCCAGCCCAGCGGCGCCGCGTCCGCACCCCGCGGAGACCAGCGGCCCGGCTGCCCGGCTGCGTCCGTCCGGCGCGGCGCGCGGGGAGCGCTCAGGGTCTGGTCTCCGGGCTCTTCCCGGTTCCCTCCCTCCCGCCTCCCGCTGCCCTCCCCCAGCCGAGGCCATTCGCCTCACAGTAGCAAGGTTGTCTCTGTCTACTCCCTTCCCTTAAACTCACCAAACCAGATTTTTACTCCCAACACCGGCAACTTCCCGTAAATCTGCACTGAAATTTTATCCTGCTCGCTGAGCCTCCGCTGGCTGAAGGCCAGTGCAACATTCCTGTTGTTTTAGGAGCGCAGATACCTTAGCTGAAGGTTAAAAACGAAAAAAATCGGCCTTGATGGAGAGATTTGGGGACTTCACCCGCTGGACTCCTCCCCTCGCTCAAACAGTCCCATGCATCGCAAACATGCAGAAGGGGCCCCAGAAAGTAGCACCTGCTCCACCTGGGGACATGTGTGCGGCTCAGGCGTCCAGCCCCCTCTGGGTGGCTCAGAGAAACCTAGCCAAGAACTAAGTTGGAGGACCGGGCGCAGAATCCCGCTGCGGATCGCAGGCCGGGCCGTCCCACCCTCCCCCGGCCTCTCACTGGGAAAGAGGTCGTAGGAGCAGGTAGGCTCGCGGCGAGCCCCGAGGCGGGCCTGAGGCACCAGGGCCCTCCGCCCGCGTCCTCACCTGCGGCACAGCCTGGCTCGGACCCGCGTAGGAAGGCACGTCACGCGGACCGAGTCCTGACCTCGGCCGGGGCCTTCACAGCAGGGCCTGGGGCCTGGGCGCCGCTCGTTCAAAGTGGCTCATTTTAATGCGCCCTGACCTGGTGTTACAGCTGGTTTCTAGAAAGGGAACAAAAACAGTGCATTTAGAAACTGCAGCCCAGGGCCTGTCTGAACCTTGCCTGATCTCGGCGGAGTTGGCTCCAACGGCGACCCCTTCCCCACTCCCACCGAACGCACCCACCCAGCGCCTGCAACCCGTGCCCCACCCCCCACGTTACCTGTTTATACAAGAGTGAAGGAGCCTCCCGCATTTCAAAAGAGCCCTAAGCCTGTTTGGAGGCGCTGAATCCGCCAACAGGAATCGAATTCTGTGACTAAACAAACTAGAAGAGGAAGCGGGCACCACCAGGAACCTAAAACCGAGTTGTGATTTCGGGTTGCAAAGTCATTCAACGGAGCGGGGCGGGAGGGATATTGTCTCTCCTTGGGCTACTTTAGTGGAGAAATGCTCCAAAAATACTTTTTGCTGGCTAAATGGGTAAACATATAAAGAGCTTGGAAGAGTAAGGGTACCTGGCACATGGTGATAGTTGCCATTATTATACGTTTCTTTCTCCCCCCAGCAAAGGAGAGTTAGAATGGATCCCAGACTCAGCACTGCCACTAGTTAGGTGGGAGGCCAAGAGCAAGTTATTCAAAAGCCCCTCCCCCTCGGTTTCTAGAAGATTCATACGACGGGATTTTTGCAGTTTAGATTCATTACCAACAGTCTCGAATACAATGGAAAATAAAGTATTTGTGAAGGGGAGTACAACTGATTTTCATCGCACTTAACAGTTTTATAAGAGTGACAAGCGACATGTATGCTATACATTCCATGAAGTTCAGTAATAGAAAGGGAACTCAAGACCAATTGGCCTCTGGGTGTGCTTAATTCTAATTTGGATTTAGGCACTTGCTTAGACCTGCTGTTTAACTAGGGGTGGTTTCTTAAACCAGTGTGAATTAGAGGTAAGTAATTTTAGAAATATA